CGGGGCTCAGTCCATGCTAGAGGATCACCAAACCTGTGTATCAGGGATTCACGCAGGTACAGCTTACTGCCGTGCTTTGATCTTTCCCACAGCAGGGCAGGAATCTCAGGCGTGTTCGATAGGGAGCCTCCCATGTTCTACTAATCAAGCACACAAGACTAAATGACAACTAGTATATGTGTTTTTCTACACTCGAGCTACAGGTCACTTGAGCGTGTTTACAATCTTGCGTTACTTTCCCACAACGGGGAATGAGGATGGAGAGCTCTGCAGATAGCCTGTAAGGGATGCCATAGCTTTATCCACACCCAGGCTTAGGAGTATTGCGCAGGGGGTCAACCGGTGTGGGAGATGTGAAGAGCCTTGTTTTGCACTTCAGCACTGGTATGTCTCCTGACTGTTTCCTGTGTCTTGCAGCAGTGCTTTCTTTAGAAACAACTCAGGTCTCAAGTGCCAAGTTTAACAAAGGAAACTAAAAATCGTGACTGAAAGTGCTCTCTGAAAACTTACTAAAAGAAGGAAAAATTATTTCAAGCCTTGAAGTAGCAGCATTCTGCTCCTTTTCAGTACATGAGATGTTTATACACAGAAAGAAAAACAGATAAGAATATATTTTCCCCTTTTGCTCTACCAGATGCTTTTCCGGTCATTTGCTTCAACAGACTTTGGTACTTCTTGGGTCACTTGGAAACACGTAAAGAAGCCCTAATGACAACAAAGCCATCACTGCTTTATAACCCACACTACACTATATGCAAAAGGACTGCCTTACTCAGTGTTCTGTGATTTCCACAGTGACATGGGGCAGCTAATCCTGTGCAAGTGTTTTTGTCAGCAGGAGGAGTGAATTATGCTGTTAATGCTGATAGAATGAATTTAGTCAGGAACAGTATGCCTGGCACTGGGAGAAGCAGTGCCTGTCTGCCACATAGGTGTCTTATGATCTTGCATTACTGGCTTAATGACTTCACGTTACTTTATTTGAGTTAAAACCAGTCACCTTGCATCTTAACAGAGTTAAGAGATCACTAATTCCAACAGAAAGCCAGCCTTGCTCTTAGGGTCTTCATCATCAATATTTAAATGTGTCTAAATTTTCATCAGGTTATGAGCATCAGAAGTAAACTTTTTTCCTTTACTCTACCATCCTTAGAAAAATAAAATCAATGTAAGATTAAAAAGATTGTGAAGAAGTAACTCCAAAGGTGATTTAAAGAGGCTGTCTCTTGTGGATTGCAGTCTGAGACATCCGCCTTTGCTTCTATATTGCACAGGGACACCAGACACACAATTCATGTTTGTGGATTCTGCTAGGCAGTGACATACCTAAAAATGTGGCTCACAACAGAGCACACACATTCCAAAACTTCTCCTGTTTTTTAACTTCCTTCTTATATTAACTGATAAGACCCCATGTAATTTAAAATAAACATTCAAGGTAAATGGATGGGTATACTTTTACCTCAGTGCTTCAACTTTCAGTCCGTACGAGACAACAGATATTATTTATCTACAGAGATGAAGTAACTGTTAGCTTAGGAAAGACAGCATTGTAAGAAGCACCATAAAAGGGAAGAAAAAACAGGTGATGTTTTCTTTCTGCAAATAGCTCAAAAAGAACCTGTTGGAAACCTTGAGAGCATAATCATGCACAAGCACTTTTATCCGTGAATATCCACAGTTGTAACATCCTAAATCCTAAACTGACTTACAAGTCTTATTTAAAATAATTTCTGTAACTATTTAAATACATAGCACTCCTGTTAGATATCTCTATCAGCAACAACGTTAATTTAGTAAGATAGAACGGCTCACCATAAAGCGCTTGTGCTAACATAAGGGAGGCGGCAGGACGTTATCAATGGAAGGACAGACAAGATTGCTCCTTTCAGCAACATGCTAAGACTTGGATCCTTAATCACCTTTCAAAACTGAGGGCTGATGCTGATTTATGCGGCAGTGTTTACAGAGATGTGATTAAATTAGTCCTAGATAGGAAGAAGGTTACCAAAGTTTCTAGTATTCAAGATGCACACAAAATAATTTAAGTCATACAGAATCTGGACAATTTCACAGAATCAAGCCTTATTTTAAAGGAATTTAACAGGCACAGCTTAAAACATTTTAGCATTTCTCAAAATCTGAAGAATGTCTTTTCTATTGTACAAGAATGAAGCATGTAACGTAAAGAATACCAGCTATTACATACTACGTTGTACTAAGGACTGTGTAATGTTGCTAACTCCATTCAAAACCAGAAATGTCTTGAACTAAACGACCATAAGCATGAGAATCACTTAACTTTAGGCATTTACATCTAAGCTTATTAAAACCCGACTTTACAGTTAACGTCGAAAAACAGGCATATACAAACTATGACCCGTTTCTAACAGAAATGTTCACACCCTTGGGTACTTCATGCTAGCTTTCCCATCTATGCGAGATGCCAGTAAGCTGTTTTAGAATTACAGATGCTGACTACACAAATACAAAGCCTCCTTGAAGAAAAGGTATCAAATAAATCTGATTTTTTTAACTAGGTCTCCACAACCAGCTAATAAAGCTTAATCCAGAAAACTTAACTGTACATTCCTTGTTTTACATTCACATTGGTTTCACCCATTAGAAATAGTTTATTTTCTACATTGTTTGCAAAATTTATTTTTAGCATGCATTGTAGTGAATGACAGAGGCACATTCCAACAGAGTACTACAACAGTTTAGAGAATGAAAAACAACCAGTCAGTTTTCCCTCCACAACATGAGGTCTCACAACAAGATTAGTTTTACAACAAAGTGCTTATTCTTCAAATTAACACAGCAACACTTGAGCCTATGTTATTTAATGGTTATTGTAAGCAGCCTCCACCAAACAGGTTAATATTATTTTCATAGGACAGCCATCCAGAAACTTCTGAAGACAATGTCAATATTTTAATAGCTGTTTCCAAAAGCTTGCAACAACCTACTCCTGCTGTTTTGGCTGGCACAGAATTGTTTAGAAATTGGTCTGTGATCTGCACTATTAGTGGCTAGGGCAAGTTTTAGCATACCCAAGTTGGCCTGGCCAGTCTGAAACTGAGAGGGAACAAGATCAGTGGTGTGTTTCGGGGTTTTTGTTGTTTATCTTTTAAATTTTATAAGTGGATAATTAAAGATATTTCAAGCAATTTATAGGCTATTAAAACCACTTTGTTAGGTGACCCATATTTCCTTTACAGAAAAAAGTCCTTGCGTATGCTGCAAGTATTACCAAAAGGACCAAAAAATGGAAATAGCCTTCTTTGGAACACATAAACAAATTGTTATAAGCCCATTAAGAAGGTAATCAATAAATAAGATTGAACAAAACCTCCAAGAAAGAGTTTTAAAAAAAAAAAAGCAGATGGAACGAGATTTCAGATTCTTTTAGAAAATGTTGAGTTGATTTGCATGTTGCACTTATGTCCATCAATTGAAATAGATTATTTCCCCTTTTGATCAACTAGATACATTAGTCTAATTATTATTAAAACTTCAGTTCACTTTCACAGTGTAAGGTGCACACTGTATACATAATCCTACTACCCTTAATATTTTGAGTAGTAAGAAAATTTTCTACTAAAGAGTTCAACACACTTTTCTCATTCTTCAGTGATCTCTAACATGAGTGCAACTTCTGCAAGAATTGTGAAAATACTGTCTACAGCGAACCTTCTAAGTTTTAATGGTGCCAATAGAAGAAAGATGACACAGGACTTTCCTTCCACGGTGTAAGAGTCACAGGAAGCAGGAAGCAGGGGGAAGATGTTTATAAGCCATCAAGCATAGGAACAAAGCTGAGACAAATGCCTTTTTTCAGAACTGAGCCACATTTGTTTGTGTAATCTTAAATGTGTTTTCCCAACTTGCTTTTGTATTCCTATACTTCCAGGAAATCCAAACCCATTTTAAGCTACTGATTCACTGTTAATAGCTGCAGTTGTCTTTAAGAGTGATTCTGAGATTTATTTGTAGATAAATGAAAAAAGTTACTTACAACAGTAGGAAAGTTCTACTAATACACTAATTTAGCCATCTTTCAGTAATTCTTTCTGAAGAACATTCAGGTTTGGGGCCTGAACTAGATTACATCTTTTGGATCTGATTTGTCCAGCTTTGTATTTAATTAGAGGTTGGGGGTTTCTTCCTGTAAGAAAAATTAGGCTCTGAAAATAGATTTTTTTGATGAGTCTACAAGCAACTACTGCGATACATTTAAAGGAGATAATAGTTCTAAAATCTGAAGCATTTTGAAACAGCTACAGTCAACATAGCCTAAATATTTTTATGCAACTTGTAATACATTATGTACTTAATGTCTCGATCTAGATTGACATCAATACAGCAATTATCAAGAAAAACCTCACCAGTCCAAGGCAGAGGTAAAGAGACCTCTTGACTGGAAAATACAGATATTACTGCTGGTCCTTATAGAAGTTAGTAAAAGCAATAGAAAGGTATGTTGAAACAGCAATAAGCTACACCCTCACGAACATTCTTGGTCACTTAACATAGCTATGTCAAAATTTTCAAGCCCCCAGGTGAAATGGCTATTCACTAGCAGATATCACACAAGGAATTAATGAAACTACAATGACAGAAAAGGCAAGGCACGCATAAGGAAGAAAAATGGATTGGCACTATTATTCCAAAGGTAAGTATTTGTGACTTTGTTTCTATCGGGAGAAATGTTACAAAACCAGAAGATTTAATTAACTAATTAAAACAATTCTCACCAAAATATATAACTAAGATTGTCCTAGCAACCATCATTTTCTTTAAGCCAAAAAACTAATGTTAATGTCTGTTACTGACACAGACCAAAGTTTTTAGCCCTGGAAGCTACTAAATAGAAGTATCCAGACATTTGAAAGTCTTGAGTACTTTAAACTCCCATTAAAGGCAGTATATGACGTTAGACATCCAGGATGAAAAAATCTGCCAACGGGTTGAGACTAAGTGTTCACATTTAACAAAAAACATCTATAGGATAGTTCTTCATTTTTCCAGAAATCAAATGACAACATCTGTTGTAGGTACAGGGTCCCAGTCCTCCTCTTTAAGCTACTGAAATTTATATATAGTATCTATCAGCAACACAGGACTGATTTAGTATTCTCTTCAGACAGCATCTGCTCAAAGTTGTAAATCTACATCACAACATTTACAGCGTCAAAAGTGCTTTTACAGTGAATATACTATTCAGATACACAGAGTCTCAAAATACCTCATGAACTCTGAAATGGTTATCTAAGGAGGGAACATCATCAGAAAAATGCAGTTGATCATTTATTTCCACGCCAAATTCTTCAAGTATCTGTACAAATTTCTCATGCTCTCTCCCAATCCATGACCTCATTGTGTCAAACACTTGGTATGGTGTTACATGAGCATGAACTTCAATTCCTGTCTGTGCAAGTTCTTTCAGCACTTCAGGGTAAGTAACCCAAGTATTGCTTCCTCCCGAGTGACCACCATCCAACCAGTAAATTGCTTTTATATTTTTTAAGAAGGCATCTGTATTCTTGTCTTTTTTAGCTTCCTTCAGCTCATAAAGCAGCTGGTTCAAAACCACACAACCTTTACTGAAGCCAACCAAAGTAAACGATGCTGCACCTACAGCAGACGGTATAATGAAGTTCATAGCAGAATTATTAGAGCATTCACAATCTCTCTCTCTTTCTGTGGATGGGCAGCCATTCGCTGTAGGAACAGACTGCAGCTGTGATTTACAAGCAGCTATTTTTGCATCCTTGCTGACACCATGCACACTTTTCTGGGACAGCAGAATATTCTGAGAGAGTCTGAATGCATTAACTAGCAATGCGTGGAGATGCTTGAAAGCTCCAAAGTCAGTGCTGTGCTCTGGTGCTCCAAACATGTTGCTCGCCACAAAATTGTCATAACAACTGAATTTGTGCAGGTGCATTCGAGAACACTTTACAACCCAAATAAAGCTATTAGGGAACCGGCGAGCAAGTATGGTAGCAACATTTTCAAAACTCCAGTGCTCCCACTGAAAGTTTTCTGGGTGGCAAGACATGATGTCATGATAGTTCTGAAAAATTAAAAAAAAAAAAAAACAGAAAGACACATTACTACATTGCGGAAAGACTTCAGCTCTGCCTAGTGTACTTATATTCATAAGAGAGAACCATAACTAACAGAAGCATGCATTAAAGAGGCGCTCGCTTGTTAGGCTTCCAGAAAGAAACTAGCATATTTAGATTTACTTATTGTACTTGAATATCTTTACCACACATTTTTAATACCTCCAAAATTAGTACAATAAAAGTAAGCACATGGAAGTATTCATAATTTTTGTTGACTTCACTCCAAGAGAAGATTAAAGTATTATTTGACTTAGTATGGCACAGAATACATCATTTTACTGTATTATCTCCATCTGCAGAAATACTGATTGTCCTTATTACAAACAATTGACTTAAAACTTCATAATAAATTTTCTGTCTCTCATAGAGAGAGACAGAAAAAATTCCCTCTCACACAGCTGCAGGGAATCTTTATTCCCCTTGTTCACATCCACAGATGGAAAAAAACTAATCCCCAAGTCACGAATGATTCTTACCTCAATTCGTAATGGCAGAGAATGTTAATTATTTTATTTCATTAAGGAATAATAAAGCCATACCCAGGAATGGTAATCAAAAAGGTTTTCTCACGCCATTCCAATCCTTATAATGAAAATCCTCAAAAGTTCTGGATCTTTACCTTCCAGAAAAGGAAAGCCTTCTCCCTAGAACAAAAAGACGCTACCCCTGCTTCGGAGAAGTAACGACTTCTGAGATTAGCCGACTACCCAGCGTACCAGGGCATGCAAAGCTACAGAGAGGGACAGCGCTTCAGAGTCTCTCTTCGCTTTCTTGACCACCCCGAGAAAAGCCGTGCCTTCTTCAGGACACGCTAAGAAAGCGTCGGCACCTGCGAAACACTCGCAGCGCGGTGCCTTGGATGTCTGTACACCTGCACAGGGACGCGGTGCTGAGCCTGCTGACGGAAACTTGCCATCTTAGGATTTGTGTCACGGCCTTCTCTCCAGACACTCTTTGATACCATTTCAGGGTTGCCGTCACCGCCAGAAATGCCAATTCCGGGCAGCGCTACGGCAGACTCCCCCTCCATCGCCGCTCCCCTCCAGGTTTCAAGCACGGCCCACCACCGCTGCGTTTACCCGAGGGCAACGCGGGGAGGGCGCGGAGGAGCAGACCCTTCCCCCCGGGAAGAGCCCTGACGC